TATGATCGGTTACCATTATTATCAAAGTATCATCCACCACCCCGCTTGTTTAACAGAATTAAATATTTCGCCAATTTGTGAATCCATAACTTTAACTTGGTTTAAATAAGCTACAGAGCCAAATTCATGCTGATGTCTGTGTTTATCTACGTCAGTTAGGTGAACAAATAATAATTTTGTATCCTTATTTTTAGGATTTAGAATATATTTTTTCACTTGAGAAACCGTAGCATGGTCGTAGATAGAATTTTTTAGCAAATAATAGCTTAATTGTAACCACTATTTATAGAAAAAATTTTTGTGAGTTAAAGGAGAATAAAAATCCATTTGGCTGCTTGCCAAAGATTCAATAAGACTAGTAATAATTGGCGTTCAACTAACATAGAAGGCTATTTTGGTATTCTCATCATCTTTAAGAATCATTTTGGGAATACTGGGGTAAGGACTATTTTCATTAAAAAAAATATTTTTGTTAACATTACCGTTATTAAATACTAATCTGTCTTTACCAACTCTGTGAAGTATAGCACCCCAATTTTGAGCACTGTCTGAAGGATCAAGAGCATCAGCTTGGAAGGAACTAGCTCCCAAAGTAAAAAACATCCAAAAATTCTGTAATTCTTTATTATTTTTAACATAGAGACCGAGTCTGTCTAAGGCAAGAAATACTACTCTTTTGGCCATTTATTCAGAATGTCTTAAGAATAAAATGTTTTTTTTAAAATATCTGTCTTACAAATCTATTTTTATAATAAACATAGTGAGATTTTGACTAGAATTAGGAGAAGTAGAATATGCGCACTCTAAAAATATTGTAATTTACTACATATTCAATACAATTGCTCAATAAGTCTATTGTTCAAGTTAAAACTGTATCCATCACAATTAAATCCAATTTACTTTGTGATTACAGGCTATTATATTGCTTTAATTGGAATTAAATCATTTTACTAAAATTGTAATATTAATTATACCAAAATTATGCTTACTTAAATTTGCTATCACTATAGCCAGAATTACAATTATGCTTACCATGTGACAAACAATTAGATGGGAATTCTAAGTCACATCACTTTATTTAAAACAAGCATGACTGAAATTCTTTTTTATTGGTTGTTATATTAGATGATTTTCATTAAATGTGATTGGCTAATATCTTAATATATTATATACTATAATTTATAATATAATAAATATTGCGATACAATATAATGATAATGATAATAATATGATATATTGTATTCTTTAAAAATATCTCTGCCCGTATATCTAAATTAAAATTAAGATTCTAATATGCTAATTAATATCTACTTCTAACCTTGAGGTTTATATAATTAATATACACATATAAATTCACTTATAATATTAAAAACATCATTTGTCTCTTATATTTTAGTTATTTTTCTTTCAACAAGAATGCCCAACATAATTTTTATTAGAATAAACCTCACAATTATTATAATTTACACTTGTGTGCTTATTTCTACAGTATTATTTATATCTATAACCTGTTAACATAAAAAACTATAATAAACTATCTAGCACAGTTCTTAATAATCAATACAAATAACCTAAATATATTTTATAAAATAAAGAGCTTGTATAAGTACAAAAGAAATTAAAAACAAAACAAAAAATACATATTACTTGTTAACTAATAAATACTATACGTTCATATGTTCATTTATAAGTTTATACACACTTGTATTCATGTCTTATAGAAGTTATGTAGATCGTGAGATTGGTGAGATGAATTTTTACAAATAACTTTCGTTGTGATTAAAGAATATCTTGGTAAAGTTTCAAAGAAAATAGACAATTTTTTTTTTGTACAGTTATATGATGTAACCCGCTTATATATTTTTAATATATAAAATTTTGTATGACACCAATGCATAAATAGAACTTCGGTTATGCTTTTAAAACATATTTAGATTTTAAAAATATACAGGTTTTAGTATTTCAATAATTATAATTTGATATATATATGATTAGTTTAGGTGCCTCATATTAGTTGCCTTTGGATGCAATAAAAGGGTTCTCTAAAATCAAAATTCTTTGACTTAACTACTTTAAACAAATTGATTTTCCTTCAAAAGTATATTCTGTAGTAAGTTTGGATTTTTAACAATTTAGTAGCTGCAATTATACCTATAAATGCATATCTTGAAATGACTTAGAAAGATTTTTAAAATTTAAATATCTACATAGAATAATCAACTTGGGTTTGTAAACAATTTTTTT